GTCAATGTCTGGAGACATTTTTTTGTTGTGGGGGGAGGATGTGACTGTCATCTATCTGGACACAGTCTGCGATGCTGTTAGGCTTCCTATAATGTACAGGATAGTCCCCACAACAAATATGTATGCAGCCCAAAATGTCAACAGTGCAGTTGTTGAGGAATCCTCCTCTATGCCTAGGGGTACCCATTCTCCTTGAATTACGATCCTTTCCCTTTCTAAAGTGGAAAGAGCCATCTAAAACAGGTGTTCATCATATCCAAGGCCTGATGCCATCACCGTGACCATTGATAGGAAAAAATCCAAGAAACCAATAATAGGGCATATTTTTCACTTTACAATTTGTAAAAATGCCTTCTAATAAATTTTCATTTGCTTCTCCCAAGAACTTACGTAGAAATTAGGAAAGGTAACATTACATTCCTTTTAGAGCAAATAAGGAGTCTAGATTAAGCTAACCACAAAGGTCTTTCAGTTGTAAACATCTATGAATTCAGGAGGGAAAAGAAAGCGAAGCTCAGAAATGTTAAGTGACTTGTTCAAGATCACATGAATGAATCAGCAGAGTGGCAGAGATGTCTCAGATCAGACTTTTTGATAGCTCTGCCCTTCTAAGTGAGCTTTTCAAGGAAAACTTACCCACTAATTGCAAATTGGCCTCCCATCACCATGAGCAAGCTTTCCATGAAATACCAGGACAAAAGGGGGAAAAAAAAGAACAGAAGAAAGACCAGTGGATAGACAAAGGGGATGGAGGAAAGGGAGGAGGAATGAGGGATGGGATAGGGAAAGGCAGTGAAATGAATCTGACGTAACTTTCCTATGTACATGTATGAATATACCACAGTGAATTTCATCATCAGGTATGTCCACAAGATACTAATTTAAAAAAAAAAGTTTAATAGCAGAAAGATCAGTAGAATAGAGGAAAGGGAACAGGCGGTGGGAAGAAGGGAGGTAAAGCACTGGGGAGTGAATTAGAACAAAGTATATCCCATACTTTTATTTTATTTTATTTTTTAGTTTGTCGATGGACCTTTATTTTATTTATTTGTATGTGGTGCTGAGAAACAAACTCAGTGTCTCACACATACTAGGCAAGTGCTCTGCCAATGAGCAACAACCCCAGTCCACATGCTTTTATAATTATGTCAAAATTAATCCTAGTGTCATGTGTAACTAAAAAGAACCAATTAAAAAAAAACACAGGACAACATCCATTCCCACCAGATAGGACACTTTCAGAGAACACAAAAGAGGGGGGAAGGAAGAAGCCACCAGACCAGGCAGTTCAATGTGTGATGAGCTGAACTATGGCAGTCAGTGGAGGACAAGCTGTAGAGCCACAGGGTCCTCACATTCTGCCCTAGGAAAAGGCTTCCACACACTTTTAGTTCATTATTAAGGCTGATTGAGACAAAGGTATGCACATAAGAAGCATTAGGCTTCTCTGATGTAATGCTCATCTACAGAGGCCAGATTTTAGCTTTGCTTTGTTTTAAATTGGGTATTATAGTACTTAAAGACTAATGAAATGACAGTGAGGATAGTTTAGTGTGTGGGACCTCCCCCAAAAGATGTGGGGGGCTCAGACTCTTTGAGATAACTTTGAATCAACTAAGAGTTTTCAAAGTCTCTATAGAAACATGACGTTTGCAGGCCATAGCCTACGTAATTTAACACTAGTCTTACTAGATACTTTCACACCCTTTTATCAAAATCAGACGTGAAGGAAGAGAGGAGAAGACTTGTTTTGTGATTAATTTGAAACTATGGGGATCTTTTCAGGGTTTTTTTTTTTTTTTTTTTTTTAGGAACTTTAGAAATTGCTTGGGATGAAGTGGTGCTGTAGCTCAAAGGAAAGACTTGTACTGTCTTTGAAAATCAGTGGAAACTGGGGACCAAACCCGGTTCTACCACTATTTTGCATTAGGTCTTAGTCATTCTACCTTAGTCATTCTATTCTTAGTCTCTATTTCCCAATCTGTACAAACAGGATAAGATGACCTGACCTCATAGGTTCCTGTGAGGCTTAGATTTTATACAGTACAGGCACAGGACATGAGATTCAAAACATAATATACCAAACTGCTATGTTGCCTATCTTTATTTCCTTGTTATCTTTAATTGACCAGAATATAGAAGCCCATTCCCCTCACATCCTCTGAATAGTCCACAGGAAGCTGGGACATACTGATGGAAATCTATCACAGGGACATGAAATATACAATAAGAACTGCTATCCGCAGGGCAGTCAGTCAAATCTGCGTTGTTTAATTAATACACCTTCTTTAGCCAAGGAGGAGCAATTTGTATGAGATAAGAAAGAAATGTTGTCCCAGGAACCTCAGCATACCCACAAACTCCAAGTTATGCTTTTAGTTCTTTTATTTACACATGTTCTTTAAAAAGCATTTCTATGGTTAGCATCTTCCATTGATTCTAATAATCAATCGTTCTTTTGTTTTTTTACAGTTGGGGAAAACAGGAAGTCTCATTACAAGTTACAAAGTGATAGGTGGAAAAGTTCTAGTTAAGTCTTAATTGTTGCCTTCCAACAATTTTCTTTGCCATTAACTAACCTTGTAATATTGGATAATTCTTTCTGATCTCAAGTTAAGTATGTTCATCTGGGAGATCCTTTCCTGGACTGAAAGCCCCATTTTAGGTTTCTATAAAAAGATCTACTTTCCYCACTCTCCTGAAATTGTCTATCTTGGAACTGACAGTCCCCTTACCTTTTATGTGTTCTTTCTCTCTGACACACACATTCATACACCTAGCAACCTGTGTTGTACAAAAGAGTAGCCACTGAGCACTTAAAATGTGGCTAGTCTCCAAAGAGATATTTCAGACATAGCATATGTTAAAAGACTTTGTAGGAAAAAAATGTAAAATATTCCACGTATAATTTTATACACTGGTTACATGTTAAAATGACAATATTTTAATATATTCAGTTACATAAAATATATTAGTAAAATTAATTTTATGTTTCTTTTTATTTTTAATGTGACTATTAGAAAATTTTAAATCACATAGTTCATGTTATATTTCTATTGGACAAGTACTGGTCTATGTTAAAGGTTCTAGGAAGGAACTCTGTCTCTGTCACTTGCACGGGGACTCCTTTCCCAACTAGCACAATACCTGTTGCCTATTAAGTACACAATCAATATGTGTTTATTAATAAATTCTCTAAACCTCTCTCTACATATGTTTCTCCATTCTATATTGGAAATGGTGTCTTTGTTTAAATCCAAAATAATGATAATAAAGAAGAAATTACTCCCCTTGAAAGGTTAAAAAAATTAATATTGCTGAAAGGTATGGAATTAGTTTTGATCCCTTGGGCAATCACTGTATTTCTAAATAAGTCTTTGAAATATAATATAAAATATTACAAATTAAATACAGAAAGATGTTGAGAGGGAACAACCTTAGTGGGAAAAACTCTAGAAACAAACTTATGGAAAGCCGAGGTAGCCCCACAATCAATGGGAAGGTAAATGGGTACCTCAAACATGTGATGGATATCTTTACTGTTTTAATTTTAAAAGCAGAAAGCTCATGGTGTTGATAGATTCCGGTGCTAATGGAAACACAATGTAAGTATTTATCCGAGAGAGAGTGTCTGTTTCCAAACTTGATCACTTGCCAAACAAAGAAGTGTGAATAAAAAATCKAGTCGCCAAAATATCTCAGTGAGTGATATGCAGGCACAAAACACAGTTCTKTCATGAACTGGATCTCCAGGACACAACAGACTTGATGAGGACAGGTGAAAAGGGTCTGGTAGGTACACAGGACTCCATCGGCTACACTTTTCCTTCCCTGTCTTGAGTCCCCACTTCCACATTACCAATGAAAGAACCAAACCACTATTGACCCCAATGCTGAGATAAACAAAAGAGAGAAAAGAGAGAAAAAGCAAGCAAGCCACCTTGTTGTACCCACCAAATATGGAAGCTGAATATCTGAAGATGTGAGTAAGTGGAACACAAAGGAGGAAGAAAAACAGAACGTTAGACACTAATTTTACCAAGACCATATCAAAGACCTGGAAAGACGTCCTTGTCCTGTTGAGGGCTTCTTAAAGTCTTGTCAGACTTTCCTTTAAGCCATCAAGTACCACATCACAAAACCTTTAACCTTGAGACCGACATGAATATACCCAGGTAACTCTTTAAGCAAGAGCTGGAATCTGGCACCTTCGGATGACAGSAAAGAAAAGAGTCACCTGGGAATGGGGTTGTGAGAAAACGGCGAGGACTTGGACAGAGAAAGCAACACTGATTTTCTAGAAGCATCGGTAAGCACAAGCAGACAGCCAACAGGTTGCCCTTGGAGCAAAAGCCACATCACCTAGGGACAGATCAACTATGAATGTTTTGTCAGCCGTTATTTAAAACCAGCTCAGTTTTTAGGCCTTTATCAACTTCTCTGTAGACCAGGAAAAGAAAAGAAAAAAGAAAGGAAAAAAAAAAAAAAACTTATCTGTACATAAGAAAAAAAATGGGGGGAGAAAAGAGGAAATTACAGAACAGAGGACACCCATGTACACCAGTTTACGAATGATGTGGGTGGTGAAGCTTCAAGAACCCAATTCGGGAGCGGAGGGGAGGGGAGAAGAAACCACATCCAGTCGGAGCTCAGCTGAGATCTCAGCAGAACAAGTGTCAACGCTTTTAAAGGGCACAGCGTGTTTCAGCCACAAAACGCTTCGGCTGGCGCAGCAGGCGGTGGGGGGCTGCTTACCCGGAAGCCGGCCGCGGGTGGGGTGGGGGAACACCCCAGAAACACCGACGGCGATCGCGTCCCCCACCACGCCCTCCCTCTGCCCGCCACAGGAAAGGTGCGTCTGGTGTTAACGTCGCGGGTCCCGAGAGGCAGGTGGCCAGCGCCCTTCACCTTGGCGCGGACCCCGGCGACCCAAACACCCGCGGGAAGGGAGGCCGAAAAGTCGAGGCAGAAACAGCACAAACGACGTAAAGACACGTTACCTTGTTCATCCCATTCCCCATGGTGGCTGAATGCGAACTCTAGCACCCTTGGCAATGTGGTCGCAGGCTCACTAATGGCATATTACAGCGGGAGGGAGGAGCAGGTAGGGCGGGGGCAGAGGCGCTCGGGAGGGAGTTAGTGCTGGCTGTATAAACAACAATAACAATGACTGTCSTCCGGGTCCGCCCGGGAGACCCGACGCGCGCTAGGGATCGAGCATGGATGGCAGGGCTTTCCGCTCAGCCGCCCCGGAACTTCCCAGCGCGAGCAGGGCAGAAGCGCCCGCGGCTTTGCCGGGAAATGGTCTCGCTTTGCCGGTCCCCGCCCCCGTGCGCAGTCGGCTGGCGGAACGCGCGCCCCGCCGCGCGCACCCTGGGACTTGTAGTTGGATTCCCKGCGGCCGCGCCCCGCCCGCCCCCGCCGACCGCGGCTGCTCTGCGGCGGACCGGGAGGAGCAGGGGAGAAGGCTCCGTGGCTGCAGCGCGGAGACCAGCGCGCACGCGCAATATGAGTCCAAGCTCCGGGAGGCGGTAGTCAAGCTGGCCTAGGGGTACGCGCAGGCGCTGTACGCCCTATGTCAAGGAGGTCACTCTGTGGTCCGGAGTCCCCAAATCCCCCCCTGGCCTTTTCCCCTGGGACAACTTTGAGGGGGCTGTTACCAGCAGTCGCTGCCTTGCCTGCCTGGTGAATCAGGTGCTAATCAGAGCCCTAGTCTTCGGGGCTCCCCTATCTGGGGTTTCTGAGTGTGTGACAGATTTAGGCTGGGGCATTCCTGTGGCCCTGCCCCAYCCACCACACCGAGAAGGCTAGCCCGCTGGGGAGTGGTGGGCTAGGTGACTCACCTCTGGGGAGGCATGACCTCTCTATTTGGGGGAGCAAATGGCCAGGGACCTCATACCTCTAGGCTTTAGATGTGTCTCTTCATCAGTGTAACTTGGCTCTAATAGGCGCCTAGGTATGTTGATATATGTGGTTGCTTTCTAGAAGCCCCATCATTGCTGAACAACATAGCATTGGGGTTTTGTCTGGAATGGATCACTTTCTAACCTGAAGAATTGTTTGGGGGTATTTTATCTTACTAAATTATTACTAAATTACTAAATTATTAATTAAGTTCCTTTCTGGGCATAGAATACTCAAGCCAGGGGTTTCTTGGTTTCATTTTTTATCCTTGCTATGACTACATATAGCAGGTACTTAAAAAATTATTTGATGAGTGAACACTACTATCAAACTAACTAGTTCACTGCTGACTCATTTAATTGGCCCCTCCTTGTTTATGGAGCTGCTCGCTCTGGCCTCCTGTGTGTTCCTTAGACCTGTCAGCTTTGATCCTGTCCAGGGACTTGTGTTGTGCTGTACTCTCTACCCAGACATCTTGGTCTCCTGCTCTTTGTGTAGCAGCCTCTTGTCTTTGAGGTCTTAGCCCAAATGTCATCTCATCAAAGAGGCTTTTCCTGACCTCTCAGTTTAAAGGTGAGCCTCCAGTTGTGATCACAGTACTCTATGATATTTTCTTTATAGCATTTAATATGATTAGAAATGATCATATTTGTTTTCTTACTTTTTTATCAGTCTCCTCGCACAAAATAGGGAGTAGTAAATATTTGTCAAATAAATTAATGAACTCTTGTAGGCTGAAAGAACAAAAGTGATATTGTGAAGATTGGTAACATTTTTAAGAAAAGCATACAGACTCCATCTGCTTTTTCTTTGCTTGTACACCACATCTCTGGGCAACAAAAGGTACCAGAACACCATGTGTAGGAAACCCCACTCAATGTGCACTTGCATTGTTTCTAATAGGCCACATGGGACCCGGCCAGGCTGTGCCCTTTCTGCCCCTTACTCTAGGATTGTTCCTTTCCTATCACCTTCACTTCCTGTTTTCCCTTCTGCCTCCCACTCAGTAGCTGAACAGCCTGCCTCTATCTGCTCTGTACCACACCATCATTGTGTCTTTATTTTTACCGACCTTTTGCTTAGGGAGAGCACAGCATAGTTAGTGAACTACCCCGGAAATCCCAAGGCTCACCTCCATTTCTAACTCTCAGAATAATCTTGGGCAAAATGATCAATTTTCTGAGCCAGCTTTTTAAAAATTTTTAAAATGAGAGCATTGAACTGTGAATTTTTGAAGGTTCTCTACAGCAATCAGCCAACTGCTTTTATTTCCCTCCGAGGTCCTTGGGCTGTTGTTTCCAGTAGAAAGATGAATTTTCAGAGTACCCCCGGTTCATAAGGTGGCACTTGCCCATAAATGACAAGTCCATACCCAAGTTTTCTTCTGTCATTCATTTGTAACATTTCTTTTCTTATTCATATTTACCTGATAAACTTATTTCTCCAGCTCAGATCATCTGCTTGACAATTCCTCAGAACCTATCTCCCACCAGTCAAAATCAGCCCTCAGTATGGCTGCATTCAATATGGCTCTAGAAGGTCCACATACCCAGAGCTCATCTCAAATTTCCTAATTTTTCTTTTTATTTAAGTAGGAAAAGAGAAGACAATTAATACCATAAGTTGAAAGAGTCATAGTTTTAAACATTTTATTTTTAAATTTAATCTTATTCTTTAATTTTGAGGTATTCTTCTCAAGACTCTCTCTTTGCTCCCTTCCATCCTAACCCTAGAGCCCAACACCACTTCTCATCACAAGACAATATAAACATAAATTTTTCATCTCTTGCTATTCTAAGAATTTTCTCTCTCTAGCTACCGATTATAGAAAGAAGAAAAGGAAGGAAACTGGTAAACAACGATAACGTGTTTCATATCCAAAGCAGAATCTGTTAATTCATTTGTGTTCTCATAAAAAATTCCAAGTGCTACTTCTACTCCATTTACAGATTTTATTTTCCTTTTCTTTCCTGTCACTTCCAGTTTCTCATCCCTGCCACCATCACATATATTGCCAATAACTCCCAAACAAAAGTGAAGCTTTCATGTGTATACAATAAACAATGCCCGCAAGTCATGGGAACCAGCTGGGTCCGTACTTGCACATGGTTAAGGATAATTGAGGAGTAGCATATTTAGTGAGCAATCATTGAACTTTAAGGTAGAGATGAGTAAAAGCCCACAAGCAGAAGTTGAACCATTAGAGTCAGCCAAATCATTAGAGGTGTTAGTGATGATTTCAGAGAATTGAGATAAACCGCTGTTGAAGTGAGAAGTAGTTATGCAATCTTTCTTAGTCTCTTGAATATACTATAATCCAGGGTTTCATTACTTCAGGACTACTGACATTTGGGGTTGGATGACTTTTGATTTGGGGGACTGTCCTGTGCATCATAAAATGTCTAGAAGCATCTCTGGCTTCTACTCACTTCCTTCCAGTAGCACTCCATTGGTTATGACAATCTAGAGAGAAAAATACTCCCCACAACTATCATCTGTATTATAGGCTACAGGGATGGGATGTATTATGAATGAAATATATTTGCCCCATCTCAAAAAATTTTTTCTCAGCAAAAGAAACAATCTGTGAGGTGAATAGAGAGCCTACATCTTGGGAGCAAATCTTTATTCCTCACCCATTAGAGCACTAATCACTAGGATATATAAAGAACTCAAAAAGCTGAGCACAAAAAAAAAAAAAATCAATAAATGGGCCAAGGACCTGAACAGACATTTCTCAGAAGATGATATACAATCAGTCAACAAATATAGGAAAAATGTTCATCATCACTAGCAATTAGAGAAATGCAAATCAAAAACACTCGAAGACAAACAACAATAAGTTTTGGCGAGGATGTGGGGRAAAAGGCACACTCATTTACTGCTGATGGGACTGCAAATTGGTGCAACCAATATGGAAAGCAGTATGGAAATTTCTTGGAAAACTGGGAATGGAACACCATTTGACCCAGCTATCCCTCTCCTCAGTGTATACCCAGAGGACTTAAAAACATCGTGCTACAGGGATACAGCCACATGGGTGTTTATAGCAGCACAATTCACAATAGCTAAACTGTGGAACCAACCTAGATGCCCTTCAATAGATGAATGGACAAAAAAAAATGTGGCATATATACACAATGGAATATTACTTAGCAATAAAAGAAAATAAAATCATGGCATTTGCAGGTAAATGGATGGAGTTAGAGCAGATAATGCTAAGTGAAGTTAGCCCATCTCTAAAAAACAAAAAACAAATGCGGAATGTTTTCTTTGATATAAGAAGGCTGATTCATAGTGGGATAAGAAGAGGAAACATGAGAGGAATAGACAAACTCTAGATAGAGCAGAGGGGAGAGAGGGAAAGAGAGGAGACATGGGGTGATTAATGATGGTGGAATTTGATGACCATTATTATCCAAAGTACAGGTATGAAGACACGAATTAATGTGAATATACTTTGTATACAACAAGAGATATGAAAAATTGTGCTCTATATGTGCAATAAGAATCGTAATGCATTCCGCTGTCATATATAAATTACAGTTAAATCTATCCTAATAGATCACATTCATTCTCTGCAGATTTGTAAGGCCACCTTGTGAAATAAGAACAAATTATGAACAAGAAGCTACAATGATTGGCCATTACACAAGCCATGATTTTCTCCATGATCTTGTGTAGAAAGAAAGAATAAAGACATGGGATATATTAAATAAGCTAAACTCAGAAAGTCAAGAGTCAAATCCCCCATTATGTATAATTATAGTACATCAATAAAAAAATAGCAATGACAAAGGATTTCACAACCAATGCATTAATTTAATGATAAAAGCATTAATTTAATGATAAAAATACATGTTCAAAGGGCATTCTATGTGTATTAAAGATCATTAAAAACACTTTAACTTTTAAACTTGATGAATTATGAATGGTGAAGACATACCACTTTGAACTTTCAATGTCAGGGATTTTAACATTGGGTAATCCACTTTTAAATATTTAATAATGATTATTTTTACATTATTTTACAACTTAACTTACTCATTAGTACATGGACAATTATTTCACTTTCAAAACATTTTTTAGTGAATTAAAAATACCATCATGCTCAGTTACTGTATAAATAACTGAATTTACAATATCCCATGACTCTCTCTTAAAACCATTCACATTCTTCAATGATTTTAATGAATAGTACTTATTCCAATTCAATAAAAATGAATTAGAATGAAAAAAACCAAGAAATTAAAATGAGGAGCTAATCTAGTCAAAGCATGGCTTAAAAGTAAAAGAAAGCTAGATTTATGCTATGTCCAGGTACAAATGTACCGCAAAGAATCCTGATTATATATATAATTATAATATACTAAATAAAATAATGATAACAATAGAAGGGAAATCAATAGATTAG